CGAAAACCATAATCGGCTATGCGTTCTAGTACCTGGCCCAGTTTCTTCTGCAGGTCCATTTTGTCTGCTGCCATAATATGATGTTGTCTAGATAAGCTGCTGCCCCTGGAATGCTTTGTAACATGGTACTCATAATTTGCTGGAAAATCGAGGGCACCGTCTTCACCCCAAAAGGTAGTCGGTTATGCCGGAACATACGTTTGTGTGTGTTGATCGTCAGAAGATCTTTGCTTTCACCGATACTGATAAGTCCAATCTCACAAGAAAACCTGCCACAGTTCGGCTTAGCGAAAAGTGGAAGTGACACGTATTTATTTCTTATGAACAGAAGACATAGTGTAAATGACTTCTGAACAACCATTGAAGTAAAGTGTTAGGTTATTGATTTTAGTACTAGACTTTAAACAAATGGATCAGGAGGTCAAACCTCTGTCTAGTACTATGTTCAAGGTAACTGAATGGTACTTCCAGCACTTGGTAAGTGGATTATATTTACGGTAAGGAAGAAACATAAGGAAACTTGCTGGAAAAAGGAAACATCAAACATAATAAAATCAATGGGTTTTATGCAGAACATTCATTTGTCGTCCGAAAACACAAAACATGTTACTTCCAGATATAATCACTAATTTATTTTTAAACATGAATAAACTAGAATTCAAACTAAAAACATTATGGATGACACAGACCAATTGATAATAAATTGACACACTTCTACTGTACAAATCCTTTACAAGGAATATCACTGACAGAGTAAAGAAAAATTATGCAAACATCTTGCTTTATGTATACATTAATGCCAACCTTGAGTACCATAGTATAGGCCTACTTGTGTGCAAGCCTGAAGTCAAGGAAGAACGTCAGGTAGAATATGAGCGGTTAGTATGCAAAAAATTGTTCCCAGGCAAAATCTAATATTTGCATAAAGTTCCAGAAGACAATCACCATTATCTGACAGGAGAGACGAGGAACTCACTGTTTGACAAACCATTGACTTTCATCTGTGTCTAGATGAATTAACGTGTCGAAAGCTTAATTGGTAATTAACAACACTTCTAACTTCACCCATAATGTAAGGTTAAGATACAAATCAGAAAAGAAACATTGGATTCAGTGTCGTAGTATTTTGAGATTAAGACTAATGGTAAAATGACTCCAGGTTATTTAGACAATCGATAAAAAGTTTAATCTAGTCAAGCTAACTCCCAAAATAAGTGTGGAGAAAACACAAAAACAATGTCTTGTACAGATTACCATTTATTGAAATTTATCCACCCTTCTCTAAATTTGTATCTAATTGTATGTACCCAGACATGATACATGTCTGGTATACGGATGGGAAGAAATCCATTACTTTACATTAGTAGTGGACAATCTACGTTCATGAGTTGCGGATGTCAGCCTTCAAACACTTTACGCAAAACCTTAGTGGTCGCAAAATTAGGAGCTAGGCGAGGGAGAATAGAAAAAATTGCTTATATAAACGAATCTTTGAAGTCTGACATTACTTTGTGAGGCACAACGTAAATTGGGATAGGACCAGCTAAATTATAGCCACAAAATTCCAGATTCACATTTTCTTATTCCAAAACATAAATATTGGTTCAAAGGGGAACCAAATACATATGTGCCACACAATAACAATGAGGATGTGAAGAAGTAGAGAATGTAAAATGCATATAAATAAAAGGAGAACAACAAAGAACAGAAATTAGTGTATGAGAGTGCAATAATGATAATGAAAGAGGTAGCTCAGTTAGCAAAAAACAACCCGATAGAATTCCTTCAGTTAAAGACGTTACGTCCATTTCTTATGAAGAAAGTAAAAGAAGGTTACAGCAGAATCGCCACTGGCTTCTATTCTGAGCCATATCTAGTAACGTCTCTAGCCACTGTGTAGCATTATCTCTCGAACCCCAGCCAGGGAGTCGTGAAGGGCCAACACAAACCACCCCTTTGCAGCTTTCTTTCATATCACGACACCATGTCATATACTGACCACCTCTCCGCTTTCTCCAACCAGTTCCAGAGTCGGCAAGTAATGCACGACGAGGAATTCTCTAGGACGACATTCGTAGAACATGTCCAAGCCGCCAAAGTCGATGTTTCAAGATGGTGACACCAATTGGGCCATCAAATAACCCAGGCATATGGTCTTTAGAAAGGACAGTAGTGAATGCCATTCAACTGGTGGTTATCGGCGATTGACTCCCGATCGTCACCCCTTGCCGCACATTTATGATTTGAGAGCTATCATGGAACATGCGACATCATTTTCGAAATCGATCAGAGTAAAGCGTATAACCAAAATTTATGGTGGCAGACGACATAATCGCCGAACAATTCAAGTTTTTCATGTGTCATATGCTTACTTTCGGAAGATTAGAAGACATGTCAACAAGTAATTTTAATATTAAACCATAAATCAGACTATAACCAAAGAAGGGTTTCGTGGATATTACAGTAATTTAATAGTTTAGCTCATGAGTCAATTGAAGTTAGACCACCATGGAAAACCTGGAAGCACTAGACGATCGTTTCGTCCTAGTATGAGACTCCTTAGAAGTGTTCATTACCATAAGTCATTTATCAGTTTAGTGATTAATAAATATTTCTTGTTTACAATTACAGAATATATGGACCAAGTCCCATTAATGAAATGTACAAACTGACATGTAAGTACATTTAATTGACAAACTCACAGTTTTGAAAAACAAAAAAATATGGAATTCTACTAAGTCATAAGTCATTCGATTGGTGTGAAGGCTGGAATACTGTCCAGGTGTTCAAATCCAAACAGGTGGTTATCTTAACGGGTCACATCCGGAGCCTTTGATCTAAAGGTCTAATCCACAAGTCAGTGGAGCAACGTCAGGAGGTGCAGTCCCATGAAATCAGGTGAACAAATTCTAGGAAAGTAGCGTTCAGTAGAGATGGACATTAACTGAAAACTCACTGAAAGTTTTCCCTATGTGTATTATCTATTTACTATGAAAAATAATATATGGAAAATTTGCCTACTTATTAAATACATAAGTATCTGGAGTCCATACTTGCTCAGCTGGTACACGCAAAGTTCTTACATTTCCGAATTCCGGTTCATTCCATTTTAAATACTCATCTTCCCATATCTATAAACAAATAAGAATAATAATGTTATAGATTAGATAAGTCAACATGCCAAAACACTATACACACTATAAGAACTGTGACTATAACAGGCCACGTCCTAGAGATTCCAAAAACAACATGATATACAACTGCCATCATGGTTTTGTCGACAACCTCTTCCCACCTATCCTGTAAATCCAGTAGTAAACGTGACACAACTATTTCCACATTAGCTGTACAGTTTACATCGGACACACATCCCACTTGTCTCAGTGTTATATGCGTTACGTAACTTGATTGTGAAGTCAGCCATATCATCTACTGAGCACCAAACAGATTTACGATTAAGCCAATTTACACTTAGTTTACGGGCAATCAGACGTTCCCTTCAAGATATATCATACAGAATCTATCCCACTCTGTCGTAATCCAAACAACAAGGCAAGGAGATGCAAGTTTCAATGGCTGTCCTGGCTTATCCTTTACAGTAGTATTGTGGTGTGTGTTGCTTATGTCGACATACATTAGAAGTATGTAACACCAATCCGAAGTGAAAAACCTGGTAGCAGAAGGCTAAGAAGATCGAGTTGAAGAGGACAGAAGCGAAAATAGAAAGGAATCATGAACTGGAAAAGTCATACAGAGTGTGAAGGATAAATGATGGGAATTCGCGAATGAAGTATTCAGCGTATGGTTCTCATATTTTAACAAGATATTCTGTAGATTTGGATTAAAGTACATTAATTGTCCCCACCTGTGTTCTCGTTTATTAAAGTAAAGCAAATATAATTACTGTTGACTCTCGTCGTTCAATTTACTTACTATGAAGCTAGTAACCTGCCTAACAAAATGGTGTTACTGAACAGGCTGTCCATTAAAGTGCTTAATATCAATTTAAGGTAAGTCGACATTATTAATAATAAAGGACAACGTATTCTTGTCCTCATGAGCCCACTTTCCTTTCGAAATTCTGAGTGCTCCCAAATCAACGTTACAACCAGTATTATCCTGTAAATAACATAACATCTTAGGATTCGCCTCAACACTATCCATAAGTTACTCGTAAACGTCTTCATAATAACAAATCAACAAACTAGACCTCGTTTGAAATATTTAACATCTGAAGCTCTTTTTCCGATTCGAGACTCTTTTCTACTTATATCTTTTTAAGCATTCCATTATTTAATTTAAACCTTTCAGAACTAAGCACATTGGCACTCATGATATGAACACTCAAGTTATCATTGCATTGATTCTCATAAACCTCACACAATTGAAAAACAGCTTTAAAACCATAACTTTTGAATTATGTATTATCTTTAAACCTTTCACTCCTTGTTTCCATGGTATATCCCAGTTCCATACAAAGTTATATCAATGTAAATTCAAATTTGTCTAGAAGACGTAATCTAAAGATATCGATAAATAGACTTAAAAAACCGACCCAAAATCAAACGTCCAAATGAAGCTGTGTATTGAAGAATGATAATCAGGTGCATGATCCTGATGCTCTATAGTGGGACATTCTGCTGTCGTTCAGAGAAAACACGATGATTACTTTTGGCTTGCAGGTATTGAGGTGTACCACCTCGGATTTCACTTCCCGATCAGTCTTGTCACCAACCAACTTGTTTCCACCTTCGAGTACCAGTCATAATATAACAAGAACAACATCTTTCCGTAACTAACAACGCTTCCGCCACTATCCGGATTTGGATCTCAAAGTACAAAAAGTTGACTTATTCTATCCAACAAGGCTTAAGTGCGAAGCTCAATTCCTTTCGATATTTATGTGGATTTTTTAAGTTAAAGAAAGTGATATAGAAAAGAAGATCATATTGGAACATTGAAATTTTTCTTATGCTAATAACGTATTAAGAATGTTTTACATGCTAGAAGGCGGTGTGGGATATTCGTTTCAAATGCCTATATGCGGTAAGCGTCCTTGTTACTGATTCCCCGCAAAGTTATACGTGTAATATTTTTGATTAGAGGTTATTTTTCATTCCTTTAAACTGATGAGTTTGTACTATCATGGACAAATAATCGTTTTAATGACCAGTATGAAATATGGGTGTTAAAATTCGAGTCGTCGTAATTTGAAAAAGATGCTTGAGACAGACTTTGTTTTCTGCTTTCAGATGTAAGGTAGCAGAAATTTAGCTACATTTGAAACTAATTTTGCAGACATTTTGATTGCCTTATTTAATCTTAATATTTTAATGCAAATTCTGATCGGGTTTTTAATATTTGCTAACTGTTTGGTGAATAGTTATCGCTGATATACATATTGAAGAATTCGAATAATTTCACAAGAGACTGTCAATTAATCCAACATTTCTCCGTAAGCACTTGGGATATGACAATGTCCTGGTGGTATAGTAGTATTCAACTTTGAATCTTGTTGACTTGTGGACAAAACTTGAGTCTGTCAAAACAGATAATACTAAAATGTTTCAAAGTAAGGTGTGCATAATTGATCGTAGTTAATTTTGAAGTGTTATCCAATGCATGCCACAGGTCCATCGAGAAATCATAATTTATTGGTGTCAGCTCATGCATTCTTTAAAGAATGCAGTACGAATTCGTACTGGTATAACACTAGTTTCTATAGTACCGAAATTGTACGAATAGAAAACTAGTTCTCAAGGCAACCCTGAGATCTTAGTTTCAGTGGCGTCTACACCTGCCACCCGGTATACACTAAGTACACTACTGATTGTTTTTCCGGGGATGGACGTAATCACTGAGTAAAGGATTCGGAACTCATCCATTAATATGGTGTCATATCAATATTTCAGTTCCGAATTTGGTTGACTACACCAAAGTACAGCTCAATAGGATTATGCGAACTAACATGCTGGCGGTATTAGTGGTAGTAAAAAGCTCATCGATATGATTCAAGAACGAATAATGAATTCGCGGGATGAGAATTATAGAATAACTTTAAAACGTAAGATCTAACAAAAAAGACTAAATAATTAGCTCTGCACCACTTCTACAGATTCTGAGTCATATTTCTCGATGTCTTCAAACATTAGCTTAATTCAATGTAGCAGGTTTGTCCATATTAATATTCAGTGAAATTAAAGGGGTTTGTTACACACTAAAGTTTACTTAACTCAATAAAAAAGTGCAACCCATTTATCAAGCGAAAAATGAATGTGCTCAGCTCCTACGTATATTTTATATAAGGTTTAGTGATACTATCTGATTGTCCAAATCGAAGAATGTAGAGTTGGGTTCAGTTGAGTTGAGTATCTTCATTACTAGTTAATAGTCACATCCACTCAGTAAACTCTAGTTGGCGGGGAGGACTGTTACCTTTGAGGTAATATGATGTGAATTTCAACCATTTCCATGCTGACACTAGCTTTTAAAACCATGGCTACAAACAATGGTAAACATATCCCTCCGAGTTTCCACTTAGAAGCCCTTTCAACGCATTATTTTCATGAGTAAGTGCTGCTCAGCTGCTCCCAGCCGTTGTTGCTACCTTGACGTGGTGGTCGGGCTTGCCTATCGTGATGAAGCAACCGAGCTATACTGGCTGGAACAACCGTTCCTCAGGGTCCTACCATGTCAGACAGGTCGGTTGAAGAGCGGCAAGACCAAAAGCAACAAACCTAAGGTCCGAAGGCGAAGTCGTACTGCTGACTGTACAGAGGTGTGACAGCAGTAATGTGTTTCCTTCAGACAACCAGCATGACAGCGATGCTGCCTTCCCACAAGGAGGGGTGGAGTTAGAAAAGGTCGACCCTAAAAATGCACACCTCACCTTATCCCACGGATATCCGTCTCCGGCGGTAAGGTCTCAACAAGTACGGAGCTAACACAAAAATTACTCATAAGAAGGTCGTGTGTGGCCGACCTCAAGCAGTTGTCCCTTGGGCACTGCGGTCACGCTCTCAGGTCACTGAGACTGCCTCTAATCCAACTTCCTTTTCAGGTACCTCCAGATAAACCCTTCCTCGATGTGGGCAACCGGGAAGTGATAGCCGCCCTCATACCTCTAACAGCACCGAAGAACACTGTATTCATAATCAACCTCCCTAAATAACTACTTTTATGAATTCGGTGTCCATCTTGTTGTGTTAATGAGGTATGGAAACTTAGACCGATGCATATATGTGGCTGGTCCTACGTTGTAGCTGACTGACTGACTTTTGGCTTCCTCCTCGAGTGTCGTCATAGCCCACGATTCTAATGCGCAAAACTCCTAAGTCTACTGAAACCTTGCTCCAAACTACACATTGGAGCCTATGTCAAATCAGTCAGCAAGATCTAGAATCTCGTACCATTGATGTATGCTGTGTCTCCGAAACACGCATGTAGGATTCTAGTGTGGTCATTCACTAGACCTCACCTCGGCAAAACGGAGAGCGAATGAGATACACCCTCCGTGTTATGTGGTGACCCGACGGCTAGTTCTCGTGGTCGTCAGTCAATCAGTAACAACGTAGAACTTCGTACGTACGTACATCATTTTGAGTTGCCATACCACATTAGCACAGAGATACAGTTGTCGACTCAAATCCCGTAGTGGTAAAGATAGTAAGAGTATAAGAAGTAATCGGAAACATTAGGGTTTGAAGAAGTTTTTCAAGGAACAATCCAGTGAACTAGCAGGTGTACGAATAGCACTAAGTACGGGGGCGGAACAAACACTACTGGAGTGGATCCCTGTTAACAGTCGTCTACGTGCTATTCAGCTAAACGGCTCCGTATAAACTTGGAAGGATAGGGTCACACGTTGCTTTTTAGTTGTTTCTGCCTACGCTCTCACTGACTGCAGCCCGGATGAAGTGAAAGACTTTTACAGAAAGCTTTCTGAAGAAATGGGCTCAAATATACCATATTGCCATCAGTCATCGTTGGAGAGGGTCGATAGAAGTTTGTCGCTCATTCTGGACTCGGACCATGCTCTAATACGGGCACGCATCTGCTTGCGCCTCACTGGCCGCGGAAAAGGCATACTCAGAAGACCTATTAGAGGTGAGTTGACTAATGAAAAAAAAAATCAAAAGTAGGTTCCAGGAACAACTGAGGTGACACTTAGGTAGTTCTGAAAACGAGGCTGACCCAGATGTTGCTTGGAAAGCTATACAATCAGCTGTGGAAACAGCAGTGATATGTTAGTGATCTAAACCAAATGGTTACGAAGAACCAATGGATTTCTTCAAGGTCTATTGCACTGATGGGTTCTCGTAAACTCATATCATCAGACTCTAAACGCGATGAAAAGCAAAAACAAATCAGATGTAGGTTAAGCAAAAGTCTAAGGAACGACTGTGAGCAGTGGTGGGCAAAGAAAGCAAAAGAGATGGAAAAGGCGGCGGCTGTAGTTTACATAAGACAGCTCTACAGACTAATAAAAGAAACTGGAATTAGTGAGCCAAATGTAAGTCAGATTATCTCGGAAGAAGACGACACTCATCTGCTCCCAGTCCAGACGTTTAGAACGATGGGCGGAACAATTTAAGGAGCAGTTCAGCTGACCTTCAGCTACTCTGCGACTACCCACCATTTTCAGACAGTGTGAATGGAACATTGAAGCAGGTCCCCCAACTCTAGCAGAAGTTCGAAAACTATAGTTAATGTGAAACGAGGAAGGGCAGCTGGTCCAGATGGATTGGCTCCAGAGGTCTTTAAGGATGGTGGTCCAATTTTAGCGATTAGGTTGATTAATATTTAAGCTAAGATCTAGAAGTTAGACGTTGTCCCATCTGACTGGTCACAATCACTTATCGTTCCAATATACAAGAGAGAGTCAAAATCATCCTGTGACAACCATAGATGGATTAGTTTGACTAACATAGTATCTAAAATACTAGCCTCGATAATTATCGGACGCCTAACTAAGACTCGTGAACTGCAAACACGAGAAAATCAGGCTGGCTTCAGACCTGGTCGTGGCTGCATCGACCACATATTCACCATTCGTCAGGTACTAGGACACAGGCGTACTTATCGACGTCCGACAATGGTGATGTCCGTCAAGGATGTCCACTATCTCTATTTTTGTTCAACTTCATCATAGACCTACTGATGAAAATAACATTCTCGTCGACAGAATTTTCAGACATTGATCTCCTACCAGGAGGTCTACTTATCGACGTTAAATACGCAGATGATATATTTTGAGCTATATCTGCTGTCCGAATCCATTGAGTTACACCACCTCTCGGACGACAACCACGAAGTCGTATTCTGCCGAGAGATACCAGGCTTATACATGCTTTTATACTACGGTGTCATGTCACAAACTATCCTATTTTTTCCACCCCGCATTCGTAACACATCTAAGTTACCGACGCCGGTGTATTACAATAGCCTAAATACGCATTCCCGAACACCAGTATTACTAACATGGTGTTGCTACTGGATTCCAACAACCCTCTGGAGACAACGACGATAAAACACGAAGTCATCAAACATTTTTAATTTTGAGGCCACGTTTTACGATTATAGAGCAAAACAGCTATCGCCAACGCATTGCAAACCCAACCTTTTACATACAGACTAAAATAAGACTAACGTAAGTCACTCTGGTTTCCACTGCATGTCATTTAATCTTGTCAGTCATGCTACCACTAGCATACACAGCTACTGAAACAAACACTTTTCTTGACAAATTCTATCAGATCACTTCAAACAGTAAGTGCGGACTCGGGTTTTTGCCAGTTTTGACCTCGTAGGTATATTTGATCATATACTGATCATTTGTCATTTATTTTATTGATGTAAAAATGTGCATTTAACTTGTGTAGTTTCGGTTTTCTCTGCAGATGAATGTTGGTGAGGAAATACCAGCTAGGTGTCTTGGTGAAACAGGAGCTCTCAGCTTCAAGAAACCTACGGAACAAGATTTTAGAGATACACAGGAACTAGAGGCTAGCCTTGCTCAACTTAATATTTTTGAACTCAAGAGGAGATATCACAGAGACGTGAAGCTCTCGTTAGGTTGCAGGAAATTTCAAATGCATGGATTCGTCAAAAAGCATTGGAACAAAATCTCCCCGCACATGTTGCTAATTCTACAACTGGGAAAATTTTCACTTTTGGTTCATATCGTTTAGGTGTCAATTTCAGGGGTGCCGATATTGATTCTTTACTGGTCGTCCCACGGTTTATAACACGCGAGGAGTTTTTCAGTGATTTTCAGACTGTATTAGCGGAAAATTCTAATGTGGAAGACTTACACGCTGTTGTGGATGCCTTTGTTCCTGTACTTAAAATGAAATTTATGGGAGTTGAAGTATGCAATACCTCTGCGTCACATAATACGCAATAAATTTCTTCCTATAGATCGACCTTTTATTTGCTCAAATTGATCAAATGTCTATACCGGAAAACTTCAGTCTTTGTGAAAACACAGAGGTGCTCATGAGGAATATGGATGAAAGAGATGTGCGCAGTATTAATGGTGTTCGTGTCACAGAGGACATTCTCAATCTTGTGTACAATAAAAATTCTTTTAAAGTAGCCCTAAAGGTAACTCATCATGCCACATAGCAAATTCCTTTGTGCCATTATTTAAGGTTATACGAATCTGGGCTAAGCGTCGGAATGTCTATTCAAATGCATTGGGGTTCCTCGGTGGCGTGTCTTGGGCAATTTTAGTTTCTCGAATTTGCCAACTTTATCCGTACGCTACGCCATCCATGATTGTCTATCTATTTTTTACCATATTCAGTCAATGGCCTTGGCCGAAACCTGTTAGGTTGCGGGAGTGTGAGTATATTGCAAGTTTGTGCTTACCTGTCTGGGATCCGAGAGTAAGTAAACGTTAGAATCGTTTCTGCAGTCTTTTTAACTGCTTCTGCTCTTTGCTTAGTGTTTTTGATGTTTCACTTAGTCCAGTAATTTACTTCTCATAAATAGCTCGGTCAGTCAGTTATGTGCTAGACAACTCAAATCTTCCCACAATAAACATCTAAATAAATTCCTAATATATATTATGAAAAGAGGAATTTTATAAAACAGTGGCTTAGTGGATAAAGCATTAAATCTTGCCCTACCTATTCCGGTGTTGCTAATTCCATCCTAGGAATGGTTATAGGTTTCAGTGGGGCAACCCTGGACTTAGCCAATCGAAGGGAAAAGTGAACTTGACGGCAGGCATCTTTAAAACGAGCATACGCCACAACATCCTATGCAAATTCTGAGGCATTGGCAAAGCAATGAATCTAAGTAGCCAGTGGTTTGTACGATTCTGGTACGAGACATCTAGGAAGTAACAGTTCCCATCTCGTAATAAACTCACTGGAAATATCTGCGTCCCATGCCAGATTTTGCCGACAAGTATCTTACAAAATTAATTTAGCTGGTAAAACAACTGGAGTTATAAACCCGACTGGGTCGAACGTAGAAGCTATGTATGTCAAAATGATTTTCCTTGCATGGACGCATCGAATTCGCGCACTCTGAAGGTGATCTTACCCGCTCGAACATTCCACTGTGTTTCTCGAATCCTTTCGTTGCTTTCCATAGATAAACAGATGTCTACGTTTCTATTAGGTCTTCCTCTGGAATAAGCTTCACTAATTCAATATTTTTGCTGGCTCATTTGATCAGATCAAAACTCCCTAAACGTACGATTTCCTTCAACTGAGAATATATTTACCGTGAGACCCATTGGTCTTCGCCGAAATGTGATGAAGACATCTACCAGGTTATTGACCAGATCTGAACCGGAATACAAGTTTTTATTCAGGACGTCCCTGCGTATTGCGCCGCACAGTCCAATACGATTCTTAGCTTATTAGATTTTTCGGGTGAGGGAATAGATGATGCGGTAAGTAACAAACCCGACACCTAATGCAATTCTCTCTCGTTTTTTCGACGTAGCATCGTTCAGTGTATTGTGTCATCACATTAACATATTGTTTGTACAATCTCTGGTCACGGATGAGCCGGTTTCTCAAACAATTTAATCTACTCATTGCTAGTTTTCTATTATTAGGTAGGCTTTGTTGATGATGCCCGAGTAAAGCTATTTGTTAATGTCCGTTTACTAACTGCATAAATTTAGACATAGCGTCCAAGGCCTTACGATCTTCAGCCGACATGCGGACACAGTGATTTGGGTCTTCAAATTCCATCCTATATAATTGGTCTAATCTAGCTTCTAGTCCATTTTTAGACAACAGTTTATGATATCTACACATTTCGTGTCTCATTGTAAGGTCCAAACAACGTCCACGCCAAAGGAGTTTTTATAGCATTTTCCAACTCTTATCTCATGTGCCTCAGGTAAATTGGACTCTATTAGTGCCTTGACGTCCTTATTCTCGACTCCTGGCACGGTCACACCACGCAAGTGAGACCGCAATGTCATTTGAGATGTTGGCACCGTCCTACGTAACATAGGTAATCTCTTGACCGTTCATACCTTTGGAATCATGAGTAATGAAGAAGAGTCTAAGGAGGAAACTTATAGTTGAACCTCTTTACACTGAAATGTCGACTGGATATCTAGCGGTTTTAATAAGAGCGTCTTGAACTCCCCCTCTAAACCCAGCCTTCTAGCTAAATCTTTTGTAATAAGCTTGGCATTTGAGATGCTATCTAGGAAAACGCAAGTCTGTACATCCTTTTCTCTAATTTTACCAATACAGACACTTGCAAGTGTTACCCGTCTCTGTACACACTTAGCACTTTCCTCAGTAAAGATTTGGGTATTAATGTGGGCATTACCATCACTGTCTCTCTGCTTTTCCCGCTTCCTGTGTAACAAGATATAGTGTCTCCGGCCACATCCTTCGACGGTACATGACCACGGTGCTCGCAGTTCCTCTGAGATGCATCTACATCCAGCTGACGGATCCCAAATAGGACGAAACGCGCGTCCTAGATTCCACCGCTAGCTACTATCAACGTTTGCATGTAATGCTTATGAATTAACGCTATATCGAGGTAATACGCGCAGTATGCACATATGCCAACAAGAGACTGGTGAATTACAGTCCTAAACATCAATGAGAATTTTAAAGTAAAACCAAGTGAATAGCAGCCTTAGCTCCACCATCACAATACTGAATCAAATGGTTTAACCTAGATCGGGATCCAACACTTTCATCGAAACGTTTCTCGAAATTCCGTATGAAACTACAATAGTTGATGAGATTACCATCAAACCTTATGATCTCCCTCTTTCGTAGCTCTAAAGCTTTAGATATCATTGCTATCCAGTCCTTCCCAGGAGGAACATCAACCCCACATGAAGCAGATGTAGGCCCGTACGACATCACCCTGTTGACCACAACTTGACCATAATGTTACCTTCCCCTTTGATGTAACCTTTCCAGCTCAATTTCTCTGTCTGAATGAAGCATATTTTAGCTAATTCCAACTCTAACAAGTGACTCATTCATTATGTAGCCGTTTCCTTCAAACTTATCACTATAAGTTTCCGTATAATGAGGAGACAATTCAGGAATCTGATCACTCTTACGATCCTTCATAGACATTTAACAGCACTCGGCGCATGAATTTTTGATGCATTACTCTTCAAAACTCCCGACCATTGTTGCTACCTTGACGTGGTGGTCGGGCTTGCCTATCGTGATGAAGCAACCGAGCTATACTGGCTGGAACAACCGTTCCTCAGGGTCCTACCATGTCAGACAGGTCGGTTGAAGAGCGGCAAGACCAAAAGCAACAAACCTAAGGTCCGAAGGCGAAGTCGTACTGCTGACTGTACAGAGGTGTGACAGCAGTAATGTGTTTCCTTCAGACAACCAGCATGACAGCGATGCTGCCTTCCCACAAGGAGGGGTGGAGTTAGAAAAGGTCGACCCTAAAAATGCACACCTCACCTTATCCCACGGATATCCGTCTCCGGCGGTAAGGTCTCAACAAGTACGGAGCTAACACAAAAATTACTCATAAGAAGGTCGTGTATGGCCGACCTCAAGCAGTTGTCCCTTGGGCACTGCGGTCACGCTCTCAGGTCACTGAGACTGCCTCTAATCCAACTTCCTTTTCAGGTACCTCCAGATAAACCCTTCCTCGATGTGGGCAACCGGGAAGTGATAGCCGCCCTCATACCTCTAACAGCACCGAAGAACACTGTATTCATAATCAACCTCCCTAAATAACTACTTTTATGAATTCGGTGTCCATCTTGTTGTGTTAATGAGGTATGGAAACTTAGACCGATGCATATATGTGGCTGGTCCTACGTTGTAGCTGACTGACTGACTTTTGGCTTCCTCCTCGAGTGTCGTCATAGCCCACGATTCTAATGCGCAAAACTCCTAAGTCTACTGAAACCTTGCTCCAAACTACACATTGGAGCCTATGTCAAATCAGTCAGCAAGATCTAGAATCTCGTACCATTGATGTATGCTGTGTCTCCGAAACACGCATGTAGGATTCTAGTGTGGTCATTCACTAGACCTCACCTCGGCAAAACGGAGAGCGAATGAGATACACCCTCCGTGTTATGTGGTGACCCGGCGGCTAGTTCTCGTGGTCGTCAGTCAATCAGTAACAACGTAGAACTTCGTACGTACGTACATCATTTTGAGTTGCCATACCACATTAGCACAGAGATACAGTTGTCGACTCAAATCCCGTAGTGGTAAAGATAGTAAGAGTATAAGAAGTAATCGGAAACATTAGGGTTTGAAGAAGTTTTTCAAGGAACAATCCAGTGAACTAGCAGGTGTACGAATAGCACTAAGTACGGGGGCGGAACAAACACTACTGGAGTGGATCCCTGTTAACAGTCGTCTACGTGCTATTCAGCTAAACGGCTCCGTATAAACTTGGAAGGATAGGGTCACACGTTGCTTTTTAGTTGTTTCTGCCTACGCTCTCACTGACTGCAGCCCGGATGAAGTGAAAGACTTTTACAGAAAGCTTTCTGAAGAAATGGGCTCAAATATACCATATTGCCATCAGTCATCGTTGGAGAGGGTCGATAGAAGTTTGTCGCTCATTCTGGACTCGGACCATGCTCTAATACGGGCACGCATCTGCTTGCGCCTCACTGGCCGCGGAAAAGGCATACTCAGAAGACCTATTAGAGGTGAGTTGACTAATGAAAAAAAAAATCAAAAGTAGGTTCCAGGAACAACTGAGGTGACACTTAGGTAGTTCTGAAAACGAGGCTGACCCAGATGTTGCTTGGAAAGCTATACAATCAGCTGTGGAAACAGCAGTGATATGTTAGTGATCTAAACCAAATGGTTACGAAGAACCAATGGATTTCTTCAAGGTCTATTGCACTGATGGGTTCTCGTAAACTCATATCATCAGACTCTAAACGCGATGAAAAGCAAAAACAAATCAGATGTAGGTTAAGCAAAAGTCTAAGGAACGACTGTGAGCAGTGGTGGGCAAAGAAAGCAAAAGAGATGGAAAAGGCGGCGGCTGTAGTTTACATAAGACAGCTCTACAGACTAATAAAAGAAACTGGAATTAGTGAGCCAAATGTAAGTCAGATTATCTCGGAAGAAGACGACACTCATCTGCTCCCAGTCCAGACGTTTAGAACGATGGGCGGAACAATTTAAGGAGCAGTTCAGCTGACCTTCAGCTACTCTGCGACTACCCACCATTTTCAGACAGTGTGAATGGAACATTGAAGCAGGTCCCCCAACTCTAGCAGAAGTTCGAAAACTATAGTTAATGTGAAACGAGGAAGGGCAGCTGGTCCAGATGGATTGGCTCCAGAGGTCTTTAAGGATGGTGGTCCAATTTTAGCGATTAGGTTGATTAATATTTAAGCTAAGATCTAGAAGTTAGACGTTGTCCCATCTGACTGGTC